TTATTTTGCATGAGAGAAATTTACTTTTTGGAAAATTTGAACACTACTGCCAAATATCGTACATTTCATTGATCACAACAGAAAAAGAATTCAAGATGTGTGCCAATAAACATCATGAAATCACTATGTTCTATATTCGGATGTTCCTCTCTGAGCTAAATTATTGGATAGATTTATGAGCCCTAAGATAATTTCTGGATGATCTGATTCGTTGTCTTCGCCCCGTGGACTTTTACGAGCAGGCGTAAGTCATTTTGTTATTCGCTATTAATGGTGAATATCTAATAAATGTCATGTTTGTATACCTTGTCGAGTCATGAATGTCTGTCACAACATGTGTCGTAGAACTTCGACTTTAAGTTCGGGAGTGAAAAAACAAACTTGATCATTCACATATCAAGTACTTTTCTTGATTTGAATTATGTGTCATCTGTTAATTTAGTTTTAATTTCTCAATTTCGAGATACTCACTCGAATGTGATCATGTAATATTCTAGCGTATTCCTAATATATATCTCCAAATATCTGTCATCCATATGTATGAAGTTAAGTGAAGTTTCACCGAAATTGCTGATAGTTCATATGATGTTCACCGACGCTAACTCTTCTTTTTCGTCAATCGACAAGTTTTAGGATTTCGTCTTGTACCATATGCCAGAATGAAAACTTAGTCATATAGAAGGTAGTTAGTCCGCACATAGCCTAGCTTTGACATTAATATGATGTATAGTCATGTGAAAATTTTTTTCTTTGTAAGCTATTCCCGAGCTATTTACAAGGGTTTATATTTCAATAAACTATTGTAAAGTGCTTAATTTTATTCGTTGCAACCTGCTTCACTTAAATATGCCGCTTAAAGGAGCTTATGAAGTTATTTTACAAGCCCTGCGAACCGCTTATCATCAACATCACTTAAAAATACTCTGACTTTTGTTATTTCTAAGCACTTCACAGGACTTAAACTGAACACCGCTAAAAAATGCTGTATTTTTTCTTACATTTAATCACTTCACAAAACTTATAATGAAAAGCACGGTGAACTTCTCTGATTTTTCTCATATTTAAGTATTATAGTGGTTGGTAATCTTTGACTACTAGTGTTGTAGATTTCTCTTGATTTATGCTGATTACCGCTAGAGCATAAGACATATCACTTGTTTTAACTGACGTTAGTTTAACTCTAATGTTTATTTGTGATAAAAAATTCGTTGCGCTCTTCACTTTTTAAGCGATCACAGAGTGAATCACTCGCTACAACATTGCTATTGCCTGCCTTGTCTTTGTTTCATTGTTGACTTACATATCTTACTACCAAACGATAACAGAACAAGATGAAACAAAACCGCACCAGTTATTTGGCGCAATAGTAGTGTAATGTTCACTTGAGAAATGAATGGAAGAAAGTAGTGGTACACTGAATAGTAAAGGGTGATTCAAAAGTTTCGACTTGCCTCAGTAAATCGATTATATCTAGGACAAAGTAATACATAGTTAATTGATTGAAGTATATAATTTTGTAGGGGAAGATTAGCATCGGCATCTGGAAAAAAAACACTTCGAAATGCATAAATGTAGCGCAATGTTATGGTTATTTTACTAATCATGAATGAATACTTCCACCTTACATTTTTTGAGAAAAATAAAAAACAAACTTTTTTTCACAATAGCTATATAACTTTTGTCCGCATGGATATTATATAAGACATCATTTTAAGGAAAGAATATTCATCGTATTTGCTGATTATGATTGTAGTTATGTAATACTGTTCATATTGTTAAACGCTTTTATATGGACAGTCTTATTTTATGAAATCTTCTGTGTCCAATTTATTCTTTAATATGCCAGTTACTCGGATTTATCTTTCTGGTAATTTTATAATAAAAAAGCATGGCATGCTTTTTAAAGATAAATAGATGAAATGATGTCAATATAAAACTTATGAGACATTATCCGACAAGATTTAAGTGAATATGATAATGTCAAATAAAAATTTATTGATAAATAGAAAAATTTTAGTGTAGAAAAATGTAAGAAAATGATTAATAATATGCTAAAAAGGTTGAAATCAAGGTCAAATCATGACAAACTGTGATTATTGATATTTATGCAAAAAGCTAATCTGAGAAATTTATAATTCATTTAGATCTTCTATTAAATCTTTAAAAATTTTTCTGAAGAAAATGTAAGATGAAAATATTCACTCAAGAGTAGCAAAATTTTCATTACATTGCACTACATTTATGCATTTCAAGGTGTCTTTTTTTCAGATGAAGATTCTAATCTTCTTCTGCAAGATTATATATTTCAATTAATTAACCTATATATAAGTTTGTCATAGATATCATCGATTTATGAAAAGAGATCGAAACTTTTAAATCACTCTTCAGTAATAGTTGTCTGTGCTATGCAGGAAAAGTGTTTTGAGTGGTATTTCCAACATTTCTTCTTTCCGTCGTAATTACTAGTGAGATTTATTCGAGGTACAATGCCTTTGTCATTAGTTCTCTTATTATTGCAACTTTTCTTAATTTAGCTGTTCAGTTTTTCATTCTTGTGAACTAATTAGTTCTTCTGTTTGCTTTCTTAAATAGAGCTTTTAGATTTTTTACAGTATGCGCTGATGCATAATATTCTTGTTAAGACGTTCGTTTGATGTTAGCTACTTTTTTAAATATTTTAACTACGTAGTCACTGCCAATTTCCTTTACTTTATTTTCAATCCTGCTACCGCTTTCATCATTTCGTATCTACATTTGAAAACATTATTACCGTAGCTATCAAACTGAACTAGATAATCTAATTGCGAGCATTGGAGTATTGCGTTATTCGATGTGTCGTTAAGTGCTTTTTTTCTAGGTCGTCATTCTTCTATTCCAAGACAATTGTATTTAACTCTCTTCTCATTTGGAAAGCAAAGAATGATTTATCTTATGCGCATGTGAAACAAATTCTATTTACGAAATAAAGCGATCTATCTTAAATTGTTATATGAAACATATTTAACGCAATAGGAGTTCGTTTATCATTTTTCTGTTAGTATTCAAAAAGAAGTTGTGTAAGCTCACGATGTGTTCAATAATACTATAGGAAGAAAACAAGAAAAGAAAAAAAATTATATTCAAATCTAACTCTTTCTCTTTGCTTTTGAAAATACTGTGTTGAACAAATTGAAAGCTTACACGTCTTCTTTTTGAATAATAATAGAAAAACGATAAACAAACTCGTATTCATAGTATTATCGTAAATTAGGTCTATCTTACGTTGGAGTATAACTTTATACGGTATGTCTGAGTTTAGCTATATCTATTTCGGTATATGGTTTACTTGTTTAGTCGGAAAAGTATTGAAATTAGTGTGCTTATTAGTTTAGAATCGTAGATCACAAAGGCTGGATCTTTATCGAAAGGAGAGGGGGAGGGGCGGTAAGTTTCGAAGCTAGATATCTTTCGATAGAACGGTAATTACGTGATATTTTTTCGAATTATAAATTTTCAACTATGTAATTTAAGTTACAGCTTGATATTTTTCGGGAACCGTTATTTTTTGTTATAATAATTCGTGTTCTAATAAATGTTTTTCACTTCAACTGAAACTTCTGTGCTTATTAATGAGTTATCATATTGAGTTTTACTAATCAAAAGGTTACAAAACATAGCTTCATTTTAGTTGGCGTAATCTTTGACACCACTTACAGAGTCATAGTCGAAAAATTATATATTATAAAGAGAATATCATACATAGTGATTCTTCAAGATCACTTTTATGAGTTCGCACACTCTCAATAGGTCTCCTGTACTCTTTATTCTGGCCTAGAAAACTGAAAAATCATGTTTACATAGGAAAAACAATAGATTATTGAGCATGCAAGTTTCGTAAAAATGATATATGTGACGATTTGCAATCTATAGATCGGGAAAGCACTAAAATAAGTCATAACATGAACAGTGTATCAAGTTACAATGGTTAGTAAGCAGAGATCATCTCTAAAGTCGAATGGAAATCAATTGATTGACTGAAGAAAGAAATTAGAGGATGAGTATTGTTGTCATTTTAAGCACAAGTAAAGAGACTTTCATAATAGTCTACTATTTATGCAGAAAGTCGGAGTAACTGAAAAGAGAACACTTGATAAAGACAATTCAGTATTTGATGAACTGCAACAGATTTTCTTTTCTGAATTTGTGTGCATCTGGATAAAGAAGAGATTCAGACTATCACCCACATTCGATTTTTAACCTTTTGACATTTTTATTTTTCGATTTTTACACTTCTACATTTTTAGTCTTTGGTATTTATAGTTTTCGATATTTTTACTTTCAGCATTGCTCCTTTCGCCATTAGCCGACGAAATTACAATAAATAAAGCAGGTATCTGTAACGACTTGTTGCACGGTCACAAAGTCTCACAATGTCATTGACTACAGCACAAATCGTCTTCAATATCGTTCATCTTTATATCATATACGGGTTTTCGATTATTTTTATAGCTGGACTTGTTAGCAATGTTTGCAATATTGTTATTTTTACTAATCTGAAAAAGTTTAGAAAATATCCTAGTGCATTCTATATTATTGCTGAATCCATGGCCAATCTCGGCGTTTTGATCGTTGGTTCGGCCTTACGAATTATTGAAGAAATATTTAACCTGAGCTCAGATCGAATAGCGTTCATCTGGTGTAGATTACGAAATCCAATTACTCAATGGTGTGCACTAATGGTTCTATCTTTGGTTAATTTTGCAGTGATCGATCAATATTTTTCTACGAACTATAATCCTCGCATACGACTATTGAGTACTGTTAAATTAGCAAAATATCTCATTGCTATTGCTAGCATTACTTGGTTTTTCTACAACATTCCATTTGCCTTCTTTTTTGATATAAAAGCTACATTTGGTTGTTTTTTCAGCAAAATTGCTTTAGTTCGATACTACTCATTTTTTCATTTGCCTATTCTGCATGGAATCTTACCAATCGTTCTAGCATCCACATTTAGTATAATGGCCTTTCGAAATGTTCGACGTATTCGTCGACAACAAATGAGTAATACTCGACGACTACTTGATCAACAATTGACAGCTATGATTCTTGCTCGTGTGATACTTTTTGTTCTTTGTCTTTTACCTTATATTGCACAATGTTTCTACACTATGAATACACAGAATCGTAACAATCAAACACTTCAAATCGCAATTGAACTACTTATCACAGCTATCAACATGTCGATTAGCTATCTCAATGTTTCGGTATGTTACTCTATTAGTTATCATGATCACTTTGATTTCATTTATGCTTAAAAATGTCTAGGGTACATTCTATGTATATCTGATTTCATCGGCGCGATTTCGTCGTCAAACAAAATCAGTTTTGATGAAAAAGTGCTGGAGATATCTTCGAGAGATTCCAAAGAACTGTCATCGACTACCGAAGAACAATCAAGTAGCACCGATCGCGAATATTGACGTCAATTATTTAGATTGCTAAAGATGGACAAAACTGTCATCACGAAGAAGCATATTATTCAAATCTAGAAACACTTTTTCGTGTTTTTCGGTCTCAATCCACCCATGCAAGTATATTCTGGGACGAAATGCGTCTGAATCGTGTTTGATACGCGTTCAAAATGCACAGAACGACCCTGTTCAAACGCAGCTCAGATAGAACATTTTTTACGTTTAGATGCAACGTGTTTCAGAAACATGCCGAAATGTATTTACAATTTGGAGCATGCGTAGGCGCGTTTGAGATGAACTTTTAAAAATTTTTAAAATAAATTTCAATATTCCTGGAAAATCATGATCGGTCGTACACTGCCGCACATCAACTAATTACAGCAGATAACGATGACTGTTTCCTGTAGCCATGTACAGCTACAGTAAACGATGCTTTACGGCACATTACGGCCAGCGTAAACAATGCCTGTAAAAGGTCACTGTAAACGACTAGCATAACAATACGCTGACTATACATTGTTCAGAAAAAGATCGTAAGATGTCGTATACATCAGATGTTTACGGTATTTATTGACGGTAACCGTTAGCGATACTTTACGGTGTATTACGACGATCATAAACAACCACCATAAATCGTCACCATTTACGAACAACGTAACCATACGGCAACCGAATACCTGCATAAGATAAAATACTGTAACGAACTGTATATGCTAGCTGTATTCAATTGCCGTATTCAGCAATCGTAACCAACCGTTTCCTTAGTATTACACAAATCTCAAACGATCAGCGTAAACACCCATCACTTACGACCTCCGACAAATTCCACTGGCTCAAAGTGATAATCGGTCCATATCCATTGACCAATCAGATTTCGAGATTCTATTTCTCATCTATATAAAAGGTGGAGCCCTACACATATATCCCTCATTCGACAGACCGTCCCCGATAATTCTAGAATCGACCCGAAGATGATTAAGCGTTCTTCTGAAAATAGAGGGGTAGCTGTGTTGTCTTACGGCGTTTTCTGTGTCGTACACTGCAGCCGTATGCCACCGTTTACGGCACGGTGATTTATGGCCGTAATATGGTGTCTAGAGAAACGCCGTACATACGGCTGTATATGGTCGTTTCTGGTCGTAAAATTTGACCTCAGTATGTCTCAGATTCAAATATGGATGCTGTTAACATGTGCTCATGATGGTCTTCACATAACTTGGCAAACAGATTAAATTATTACCTTGGGCGATCGAAGTCAGGTTTGAGCAGGCTAACAAGATAGTCGGAAGCCATGCGTATGCACCATTGAGTTATACAAACTCGGAATGATTTTTCGTTGAATAGAAAGTATGTTCGAAGACTAACTTAGTCCTTCGACTTATCAAAACAACAGTATTCACTTTTACAAACTAGAATATTTATATTCAATAGATTTTCTATTTTTCTTCTAATAATCAGTATTTGCTGAAAAATAAATTACATTATGTATAAGTCTGAATGGAATATAATGATGTAATTCAGACAGAATAATTCTGAAATTTCAAAATTGTACGCTGTCTTAGTTAATGGTACACCCTTGAGCAAATCGTTTTAGTGATCGCAGGAGCATTGTACACTAAACATACGTGAATAAGAAGTTGACGAAATTTTGTTCGCATGTATTTGAATATGATTCGAAATCTAAACAATCTTGACTTCTATTAGTAAGTTTTTTTACGTGCTTTCAGATGCAGCTTCATTTCAAACTGCGTTTCTAGTACAATCTTTGTTACCTCTAGACATAGTTTATGACAGAAATGCGTTTGAATGCGTCTATTCTGTGCCTGACACTCACTTGGATAAAAAGATGATGTTAAATGAATTCTATTGCATTCGAAAAAAGATGAAGAACATGTATGACTTCTTTTTCTCAAACGAGTTTCAAAAGGCATATATCAAGAAAGGAGTCATTCAGGTGACATAGTATTGAGAATTAGAATCTTTCTGATGAACAAAAGAAAAGCGCCATATTTGACAATATGACAAACATTTTCAGCTGACTTAATGCAACCACATCGATCAAAGCTGAAATTGAGTGCGTGAAAAGAAGACCGTCAACGAGAACGACACTCATATACCAATTCATAGCCTCACTCACACCCTATTGCGATGGTTCATCTCTTGTTTTTATTCATTGAATATTTCGTAATCAATTTGATTCATTTGAGTTATCTATTAAGATATTTTCGTGTATAGTACATTGAATTTTAACATTACTTTATAGTATTGGATTTGATGACAACGGACGAAAATAGATTGAGCTGTACTATCCTCATTGATTGATATTGCAAGTTTCTAAAAACATAAGATTTTATATTAAAAAAGTTGTTTTTTTCTGAATAGTCAAAAAAATGTTAATGTAATTGTAATTGAAGTAGAACAGTTTGGAACAACTGAAATAATTGATTGTGAATCAATAGTATTCTAAAGCAAAATAGATTTATTAAAAAAAACAAATGCAATATCGTACTATTGACAAAAGGATGTAGATGTGGGTGTCGTTTTCCCTTCACTCATACACACACCCTAAAATCAGATCTTTTTTTTAAAACTGCGATAGTTTTTTATATACTTATGTAAAAATAAGATTATTATTTTTAATTGTCAGCAAATACAACTTAAACTAATGTGAGATTATATCTTTCTTTTGATGTATCATGGCTCTCATTTTTTGTGGATTATTATTTTCATTGAAAATACGATCAATATCAACAGACATGGTTCTAATCATTTGGTTTAATGTGATTTATGTGCTGTGTTCCAGATCATCTTCGTTACGCATAATAAAATGAAACTAATGAGCAATATAATGAATGTATGTAAGGTTTTAATGCTTCCAATAGAGGAAGATATCACACCTGTTCAATGCGTCATCACAGGTGATCATGACTAATTAATTAGGTTTTTCAATTTCTTTAGGAATTATTGTTAAAAAATATTGATCTTCAAACGTGATAAATTTTAAAATCTTTGAGCATTCATAACAATTTCCATGAGCCTAATGACCTGTAATAAGTAGAAACGACTGTTGTTGCCGGTTTTCCCAAAAGTCACATGTAATAGTCAAAAAATTTTCTTCTTCAATTTTAGCTCTTGTTTAAGTTGTATATTATGGATGAAGACGTTTTTATTCTTTAACGATCAAATTTCTGTGGGGTGACTTGTAGCCTATAAGAAAATAGAATAAAGGATAAGACTTAAGCTTTTCAAGACCTTTAACGAAAATATCGAGTCTTAGGTATCTATTATAAAACACTCCTTCTCTATCTCAAAGTTCTTTAGAGTTTTAGCTTTAGGAGGATCAAATCTATTAATAACAGTGTATAATTTTTCCATTCATAGAGATAATTAATTGTAATCAATTTTCTTAACTGAAACAACTTCGTTTTGTCGAATTCGATCCACGAAATCAAAATAAGTGAACAGCTTCTAAAGGATTAACCAACTTAAACCTATCAACATAAAATTTATGGATATTCATAGAAACCATTCAACATTTAAGCATGGCAAAATCACGATATTACAAATTGATCAATCTTTGATAACCTTTGGAAACGTTTCATTTGAAGCACATTTTCACCAGGAAATAATTCTCTCTCGTTTATCATAGCTATCATTGATACATCACCTATCTTACACCGACTATCTATTATTTAAAAAATATATTCTTAAATTTTGATATTTCTGAAAAATTATATAATTGTTCACTCAAAATTTATTCCTTTTCAATTATAAGGCTCATCATTTTATTCAATATGCTGTACACAAGAAATCAAGACATTTTAAAATCTTGCACTTTTAAAAACCAATCTGAATTGTCAGAAATTTTTTCAACCTCAGATTAGTCATTTGAGGACGGTTAAAAAGCTCTCACCAGGTTTTAAAATATTAATTAATTTTGATAAACCAGGTTTTTCAAAATCATTAAACGCTCTTGCATTTTTAATAATAGCATCAACGACTGAAGAATTAAATTTTTGCCTTTTGCTGCTTTTGATAAATTGATGGTAAGTGCAAATGAGCACGATACGTCAGTTGAGCAGATTTATTTAAGACTGAGCACTCTATAATGGGCTGTTAATAATACTTCTTGACATGATGAACACTTTGCTTTTAAACGAACAACACTAATGCATCGCTCCACATATTTCCAAACATCTGATTTTTATGTTGTAGCTATTATTAGTTTTTCAAATGCTGTTGTTGTTGATGACTCAGCAGATAGTGTTGAAGGAAATGAATCAAGATATTTACTGTGTGATAAAATTGCATGAAAATTAACTGTACGACGACGTGTTGTCTTTTAGAAGTACGAGAAAATTATATTTCGTTAAACGACTTTTATATACAGAAAAGAAAAAAGAATAAATAAAATTGTCATTACATTCACAAAATAGACAATATTTTTTCCACATCATTGACATCTCTATACCGCACCATATACAAAACTTTTCCAACATTTTACAGAGCTCACATATTCTCCCACTTTTTCGCTATATGTTTAACACATTCGAGGCAATTCAATTTTCTTATAAAGTAGCTTTAACAGATTCATTTTCATGTACATTCACCTTCCGATCGATGCACTCGTTGGCCATTTCAGTATGTGCTGCTAGTTGTTTTTCTTTTTGTTGTTTATAACATTATATAGACGGTTATCTTTCGTGTTGAACTGTGTAATTACTCTAGTTTGTTTTTCTCTTTCTTATATGTATTGCACATTTGGAACGAGATAACGAAATGAAATTTCGATTTATCGAAAGCCAGATTTTAGTCGATTAACATTCTTAGCCTAATTATTACTATCGTAATATATGCAGGATAATTGACACGAATGGATACACTGAGAATTTATGGTTTATACCAGGAAGCAGGATCTAATGGCTAATCTTGGACATCTGCAAAGAGTCATAATTAATTTATTGTTATGGTTACCAGAGACAGAAACCGAGTCGAGTCGAGTTAAGCTTGCAGGACTCGATTCCTCAGACACTCCAACTAATTTATTCTCAGTTGACAGTTACAAGAGATCGACATAATGATTTAATTGATGTCTACACTTGAAAATGAAGAGAATAGAAATTTGTACTTTGCTTTTTGCCTTCTGTAAACTTTTTGCCTGCTTGCATGTTAGTGTGTGTGTCCATCAAACTCCATTTATTGGGAAAAAACTGAGTATTTACTCAAAAAATAGGAGGCGAATCTGGAGAACATAGACAGTGATATCCGACTGGAAATGGTGTTGAAATACAGGAGACATACAACAGTGAACTAACTGATCACAATGGAGATCCTGATAATGACCTGGGATCTTACGGCTGTTCACATATCTAACGAGTTAGAGAAAGATAACGAACTATATATTCGCAGATGAAGCGAAAGAAAGAACATAAAAACGGAACGGTAACATCACACGAGAGAAAAAGGAAATAAATCAACAAAATAGAGAGGAGGAATGCGATAATATGGCCTAATCGAGAGAGAAAATCATAATATTGTACTATGAAATCTTTTTGCTCGAATCAAATCGCTCGCTCCTTCAATGACCGTACGATACTGTCTACATCTGCCACCTACTCATCGGTTTCATTTATTCCATATGCATAATTGTCCTTCACATGTGATAGCTTCAAGCACAACGCATTCCACGAGAAAGCCTATCATTGGTGTATAAAACGGCAAACAAACGGTCAATTACCCGAAGCTTCAAAAAAGTTTACCGATTTGATTTGTAAAAGAACTCGAGTAAACCTTGTGACTCTTAAGACAAACGGTTTATGCGATCTGACAACTATAGTTGTGGAGACAGTGAATAAACAGCAGAGATCAGAATGAGTCGAGCCGAGTCGCGATTTTTCTGACTCGTTTCAGTCTCTGATGGCTACTTTTCATTGGCGATCATGAGTCAAATAAAATTTTAAAATATTATCAAGACTTTAAACTTCAGTCAACAATAAAGTTAAGAAATTAAATTGTTTTGTTTTCGAAAATCGTCTAAAATTTAACTATTTTAATTTTCAAGGTTTCGTTGATAAATGATCATATATAAAAACTTTAAATTTCAATTCAACGCCTATTTAATTTAAGAAGATGTAGAGATCGCTGGTATATGCAATAGAAATCTAACTAACTGTAGGAAGATCTATAAGTGTCGAGTGTAGTCTATTTGAGGCTAAGTGACTGCGGTCTCAAAGTGCTACCTCTGGTTTTGAAAGATGAATATACTTAACTAACAACAAAACAATATTATTTTTTAATTTTAGGAGACTTAATGTGAAAAATTTTATAAGCTTTGCATAAATTATGAACTTTGGTACTCCATTAAAAAGAAGATTTGATGAAAGACACGTATAATGTCCAATAAATTGTGTTAAAAAAAAGATCAATGAAATGTTATATTATTTTAAACAAGGTTACTTGAATTAAGTTGACCGCGTGAGGTGTTTTGTTATAAATAAAATGAAGAATCTTAATCCTAACCAAGACTTCCAGGGAGAAACCAATTTATTTACTTCTCGTATTGAGAAAGAACACTCATACAGCACGACCAAGGAGGGAGGGCCTGAATTTGGCTAAGATTAATGATAATTTTGATCGAGGTCGAAGGGAGATTTGATATCGGTTTTATCATAATTCAGAAAGTTTATTCAATGTTTATTGAAAGTGTGGCCTCGGTTCATGCGTGTTTGAAGAGAATTCGAATACCGATACCCAAATTTTAACTTCTCTATTTTCACATCTTTTTTTATGTTTTTTCTTGTCGGATATAGATATTAGTAGATTGCAATGAGTTTGTTTCTAATGAATGCTTGATTTCATGTCATAATACGAAATAAATAGTGTTACAATACGAAGGAAAGGCTTTTGACATTCATAGTGACAATTCTGTCTCACAAACTCCAAATATGTCAGTTAATGAAGAAGAAAAAGAAGAGTACTACGTAGTTTAGCGCACTCTACCAATAACAACTGAATAGATTGCAATTCTGCAAGCATATATCAAGCGAACTCTACATCTTTCTAAAATAGATGCAGACTTGCATTGAAGACAAGAGGGAAATGTACAAATGTTAGTTGATTAAAATAAAACTGCTGTTGAAATTTGTCTCAGTAATTATTTTTGAATAATAAAAACAGACAATTTCAATTTTTGGATTATTTTTCAAATGATTTTTAATAAACAAACGAACGCAATTTGAAGCCTTAAATTGTTTTTAATCTGAATAATTGAAATTGATTGAAAAATAAAGTAAAATTAAATTTAGCAGATTTTGAATTTTCGGTTTTATGTTCGCAAATCAGAAAATACGATTTTTTTGTTGCTTTACATTTTTGAATATGTTACAGTTGATGAATAGAAAATTCGGCTAGAAAATCATATCCACTATGAATTTTTATTATTAAAGTAGATTGATACATGTTTTCATTCCTTATTTATTCATTGTTAAATATTTATGTAGCTTTATCATGGGCTTTTTCTATCAAATGAAAAAAAGAAATTTTCATTGTTTTCTTTTGTTCTCTGGATATTTATAAGTGAGTCATTGATAAATTATCCGTTGTTTTGACGTTACGTGGCACACATGTGGCTTGTCTCGTGGCATGACGCGAACGAAAAGAAAGAAAGAGAAAAAACCAACCGCAACTTCCAAATCAACTATTTTATTTGGTTCTGTTTACAAATGGCACAAATGTAATTAATGCTGCCGGTATATAAATAAAAATAAGAAATGAAAACATAAATCTAATTGATATCAGTTTATTGTTGTTCATTCATATATTTTTTCGTTCTTTATGGTAAATATGAGTCATTTCAGTGAGTTCTGCATTACCTTGGAATTTTCCCAGTAGATGACTGAAATCAAATAAAGAATGAAACAATTGATGTCTATGATGTATTTTTCCAATTGTTGAGCAAGAGAGAAAAAAAAGAGAATATCATTTTCTCTTTTTTTTTCTCATCTACATTTATATATAAGGATATTTCTCTACGTACATCCAGTCATAATCAAAACCATACATAGAAATATATTGGTCGTCTTGTCTCGATTATTTCACCATTCAGCCAGTTCATTAGACAATTACATCAGAAACAAAGTAGTCATATGAAGAAAAATATGTAATTATTCTCGCATCTAGCTTGGTTTATTCCAAGTATCTTTGACTTTTTTCTTGGATTCGTTACATACTGTTGATTTTCATTTCATCAAAATAATTTCAAACATCAACAGTTTTTATTTTCTTAATGACAACAAGAATTTAAATATCCCTGTAATTGATCTATTTATTTTTAATTCCTTTTTTGGGAAATAGAACTTATCATTCTCTTGTTGATCTACGCATTTTTTTTTTCGTTTTGTTTTTACTTTCTTTTTTCTTCTTCCTTCCTTCGTTAGGATTGCATCGTCTAAGTGAAAATATTTTTATTCACATTAGTCATCATCATCATATTCTTACCCTATATAAATGCATTAGTTAAGCATTCACATTTACTTTCAGAATTTCAACATACAACGACATATACATACATTCTATTTCATCTGATAGAATAAAAGCTACTATGACAGGATCAACACATGAATACACTCGTCAACATAGTGCAACAACAGGTAGTTCAAAGATGAATAAATCTTATGAATCGCAACTTCGTCAATGTTTATCTACTAATGATCTGGATTCACTTGAATTAATACCTGTTGATAATCAACTTGAAGAAAAGTTATTTTATAAACGAAAAACTTCAATAAGTGATGATGATTCCGGTACAGAAGAAGTTGAACAGCAACTTGAACAGATGTTGATAACAAATCTCAATGATAATGAAGATAAATTATCAATAAAATCTTTTGGTCATAATCCTGATGAAGGTTTTTCCGAATATGAAAATCAACCTGAATCAGCAATTTCACGTATTAAAAAAGATAGTAAGTTAGACAATATTTTTTTTTTCGCTTTGTCATTATGACTCAGCAAAAATTTGTAATTTCGTAATACTAAATGTTGTTTTTTTTTTAATTTTTATTTAGTAAAACTTGCTAAAAATATTCCGGATGAGGCAAAAAAAGATTTCTGTTTTGATACAAGTGTAGCATTTCATGGTGAATTTGCTCGACTTATTTCAATTCCATTATCATTATGTCACAATGTTCGTTATTATCTTTTTGCTGAAGAAGAACTTGTTAATGAAGTACATATGAATTTAAACGGTGAATATCTTAAACTTGACAATGCTAAAGCACAATTTAAATGTCCAAATACAAGTTGTGAACATGCATGGACATCAATGCGAGCTCGAATTTCATTTTCAATTAGTTCACCATATAGTGGATTTATTGTACTTAAAATTTTCGGACAAAATTGTCAAAAGTGCGGTACATATGCTAATGCTCTTTGGTATATTGGTAAGTCTTTTATTTTTATTATATTTTTAATAAATTAATCTTTTCATGTTTTTAGATGAAGTTTGTCGGGTAATGAAAAATTTGGCTAGATCACTTTTTGAAACCTATTATCCTGATATGATAAACAACGTCGATTTAGAAAATCAAGAATTAATTCAAAACGATAAAAAACAATCTCATCAATCACGCCATGACCCTACTCAAAGAAAAGGAAAAATGTTGGCGCCACATGCTAAAGAACATTGTGAAGCATGTCGACGTGGATTATGCTTTATTTAAAAAGAAAAACAAAAAAAAACAGATATTAGCTTGTATATAAACATGTTATTTTTAGATTTATAAACGTTTTTTTTTTAATTGTTTCCACCTATTTGTTTTTTTTTCTGTGTGGTTAAAATATATACATATACTATTTCAAAAACAACATATTCTGCTTTTCTTCTTTTGTTTTTGTATATTATTACTGTTTTGTGCTCTTTTTTTCCCAACATGCTTTAGTGACATTTCTAGAAAGTCGATTATGCGTGTCAATTAACAAAATATATATGTATATCAAAACTAAAAAGTTTATTTATTAGAATTATATCAAAGCATAAATTCGAGCTTCCAGTTTTGCTATGAAAGATTTGCTGGGTTATTGCATATTAAAGCGCGTATAAATCAAAAAGCAAGATATAAATATGAGTTTTCTGGATTTTTTTATAATTTTGGCATTTGCAATGGAGATATCATGAGAAGAGCAAGTCCAATCATAATTAAAGGTGATACAAAAGAAAAAAGTGCAAGTAATGCAACAACAATACCAGCAGCTGGAATAGGAAGACCGATAAAATATTCATGTGTTGGATGAACATTAAATCTTGCTAAACGCCAAGCACCAGCTAAACTAAAAATTGAAAAAAAAAATATGTTTATTTCATTATTTTCTTTTAAATCATACGGAAAACTAATAAAAGCAATAATCATAAAAAATGACCAAGGTTTAATTGAATGAGCAAGTATTGTTGGTGCAACACCAAATGAAACAACATCAGCTAATGAATCTAATTGTGCACCTATATCAGATGTAACACGAAACATTCGTGCAACGCGTCCATCAAAATAATCACATACAGCAGCCAAAATTATAAATAACGATGCAAAACGATAAAGACCATTCATAGCCATTATTAGTGAAAATAGACCACATGTTAAATTAGCTAATGTTAATCCATTTGGTGTACCTCGAAGAAGTTTTTGAGTATATTCATCGGCTTGTTTTAAATAAATGTTAATGGGTGTGTTTTTTTCTTGTGCTACTTCGTTTGCACTCGACATTTTTATAAATAATATTCAAATTATTCAATGATTGGATTTTGTCTTCAAGCAATTGAGTATTCGAATTTTGAAAGTTTTCTTAATTAATATGAAAACAAAATTAAAAAAAAGAAAGTGAAGATGAAAATTTTAAGTCAATTCTAACGACATCTTTTTCAATAAATGATGAGTAAAAAGGTAAACTGCTTGCTGTATTCTTCGTTCGTTTTGATGACTAAAAAAAACCTATGTTCGCAATAATTTTGTTTTTTCTTTAATTTTGCGACGATAGACAAAAAACATGACTGATACTAAAAGAATTTAATTAATCATAGTCAAAAACTCTTCTCGTTAACAAATCAAATGATGATTCAATCAAAGCGACTGCTATCACTGCCGTTATGTGGGTTCTTCTTTAGATTTTAAACACACCCATACATATCACAGGCAAAATTAAACTTACACAAAATGGGTTTTTAATTAGATGCAAAATTACGAAAAATATTTTTCTTTTCTTAATAAATAAATTCTAATTGTTCGTTTACACTAAGAAAACATAGCATGTATCTGTTATTGGAAAATAATTTTCGAAAGTAAAAGGAAAACATAAGATAAATCATCCTTCATTTTTTTTTTTGAAGTTGAAAAATAACTCATCAAAACTTAACAGCATTATATATGTATACTTTACACATCATCTAGAAACCACATTAAATTCGAAAACAAATAAATATCGATGATAAATACTACTTTTTGGTTGGAACTTGCTAAGACAAACAGAATTTCAATGAGAACACTAACGACCTCTACAATTTCCTAGATTTAAATAGACTTCAATTATAGTCGAAAATAATTGAATATATCAGTTCTTTTTACTTTTTCAATTTTAAAATCTTTTACAAATTCTATTTGATTCTGTCTAAATCTTATTGTATGGGATTAAGGTATTTGTGTAATCTAAAGAAATATACTAATATACTTAGACAACGCTTTCATTTCAGTGTTTTTAAGAAGTGTCTCTTACTTCTATACATGTATTTTATTTTCCAAAGTGGAGTAATAAAATAAGTATTAGCGGTGTGTTATTTTTAGTTTTCCCCATTTATTTTCATCCTACCATGTGATTTAATGAATAGAAGAGCGTAAGCAATGTGTCAATTCGACTAGAAAATAGGTTTTATCATTCTGGTAGTTATATACAAACAACAATGAGAAAAAATATTTCTGTTCTATGTACTTATCTAATAGAATATTGTTTCAAAAACATTTCAAATTTCATTTCTATTTTACTTGCTGTAAACAGAAAAACTTAAGGTTAATTTTTTTTATATTCTTTATCTGGAGATTTAGCAAAGTATTTAAGTCAAGAGAGATACACCAGGTACTGCTTCATTGTCTCTCACAAAAGTGAAATTGCTTTTTAACTGTTTAGTTGAATTGAAAACTTCATAAAAGGAATGTAAGAAAACTGAAAAACATCGCTCAGATCTCACTCAAATCTATAATATAAAATTATTTCTTTTATCTCACTCTTTTTAAAGTTTAAATTCCAATATTTTGCTTCTGCTGTTAGAATGTTGACGCACACACATCATAATCAATATATAACCTTTCAATGATTGATGATACAAGGATAGTAATGATTATGTCGTTTTCTTTTTACAATAGAGGATGGTCATCAGACATCATGGAATGATTGTATATTTTATTTAACGAAAATTACTTTGTGAAAAGCATCAATATTTTATTACAACAAAATATTTATTTAAATAGATGAAAACGATTAGATGACACTAGTTGTCAGTACTATATAAACGACATATTTGACAATCGATCTACACAAATGGTAACTGTTACCCAATGAAAGTTTCGATAGCAACGGCTATTCATTGTCAAATGAATTTTTTCAAACATGTTTGTTTTTATTTGTTCTATGATACGAACTTTATATATAAATATAATACGCATTTGTTAATACATTGATTTGTGTTCAGTTCATAGATTTAATCTATAGAAAATATTATCATGGACCAAGTATTCGAACAAAAATTAATGCAAGCGGCTCAAGCCGTCGAACAACAAGTCATTATATAGAGAAAATAAAATAAGCGATTTTAATTATTTTAATCTAGGTTGATGCTGAACTTAATCGTTTAGAAAAATTATCTGAAGATGATATTGAGAAAATGCGTGCTCAACGACTTGAATCAATGAAACAAGAACATAAAAAACGTCAAGAATGGCTTGCAAATGGTAATGATTAAAAAAAAAACAATTTCTTTTTTTTTCTTATTAAATTATACATTTCAATTGCGTATGTCATAGGTCATGGTGAATATGATGATTTACCAGGTGAAAAAGAATTATTTGATATAACAAAGAAAAGTGAACGTATTGTTTGTCATTTTTATCGTGATTCAACAATGCGTTGTAAAATTGTTGATAAACATTTGGAAGCGTTAGCACGAAAACATATTGAAACAAAATTTGTTAAATTAAATGTTGATCGTGCACCATTTATAACTGAACGTTTACATATAAAAACATTACCAACTATTGCTCTATTAATTGATAATATTGTTAAAGATAAAATCATTGGTTTTACTGATTTAGGAAATCATGACGACTTTTCAACTGAAATTCTTGAATGGCGTTTAGGTCGAGGTGGTGTTATTGATTATAAAGGTGATTTAAATTCACCACCAGATGAGAACGAAAAGAAAAAAACAATTAATTTATTTGGAAAAAAACCAAAAACAATACGAGGTGGAACGGGCGCTGGTGATGATGATGATGATGATGATTAAATCGTCAGAATTTCTTTTTAGTTTGTTATTCTGTTCAAATGATCTTTTGTTATACATGTCTATGCGCTTTTGTTTCTTTTCGTAGCACGCAAATAAAACAAAAAATATCTATAGCAAATCGAAATTCTTTGTTCTTATCTATTTTAAATCTTTCAGCTATTTAAACATCGTTATTGAATACCGTTCTGAGCTTATTCAATAGAGAATTACGTCCTCTACAAAACTGTCAGCTTCATGTCTCAAAGAACATTCCAATATCGATGTAAAATTCAAACAAGTTCGGTGAGCAAATGATCTCGACAATGTTCTCATTGCTTTAGATCAAGAGAAAAAAAACATGAGGGATATTGTTGGATACATAAAGATAGATAATATTTTTTTTTAACTAGACTTGTCCTACAAAGGACAAATTTTTAAACAATTGGACGCACAATTCAATTCTCAACAAAATTGTAGTACATCACTTTTTTTGCTTTTTTTTTTACATATTTTGCATCGACACCAAAGTCTTATTTCACAGACAAAAACTGATAGTTTTTCAGAGAATCAAGTTCTATATTGAATAATCTGAGAACGGTATTTAATAACGATTGTTACATATCAATATTTTTCCATTTTATCTTCTTACTATCCACCAATATTCATATCTTGAAGTGGTAATTCAATAGAAATTTTCGCAACATATGCACTCCAATTTCCTTCTTTGTTGAGTTTTGTACAAATATGTCAATAGATTATTTTTGTTTTCTCATAGTGAATAATTTCCAGGGATAGATATGACTATTTAATGACATATCCAATGAATGATAAACGGATAAGTTGATGAATCACAAATTACCTAAATATGTGACTAAAATGTTTTTTCTTCCTTTTCATATAATAGAATGGTTTTATTTATGAAATCTATTCAATACGATTAGTCATGATACAAAATGTTTTCTTGCTTTTGTCATTTCAAACATAACATGTTCGATGAGCTTCAATAATTCTTTATCACAACATGAGTATTAATCAGCGGTGTAACCAGGATTTTTGGACTAATGGGTAAACTTCTATTGTGTGGGAAAAAATGATCGGCAAGGTTTTTATTGATATGCCAAAGCTTTTTTGGCCCAACAGAGTACTGATAACGTAAAAAAAAATGAAATGAGGTTCTTTTAATCAAATAGGTATCAAACTCAAATCTTAAGCCTGAATTAGGTGTGTTTTAGTCTATTTTTAATGTCTCTGTTTATAACATTTATGTAGCAAATTCAAACACCAAAATCCCTACGGACTGGGTCATTTCACATCTTGGTTTTTTCCTTTATGTTTTCACATATACGTCATTGAATTTTTCCTTTCCCTTGCATACATCTCGCTATACATCTAAACATATGTATGTTCGTGTGTGTTCTCTTGCTCTGTATTCTTGTTTCTCTTCTCTTTGATCTATCCTTCTCTGCCTTTACACGTGATTAGTGTTTTCGCAAGAAAACCAAACTCACTTTTACCCAAACTTGCAGTTAAAATACCAGAAGCGAAGAGTGCATATGTGATTCAGACAGAAGAAAAAAAAATTACAGTTACTATCTAATTCAAAAATAAATAAACAATTCTGAAAAAGTAAAATTCCAATGGGCAAATCTCCAAATGAAATGGGTAATTACCCATTTATTTCTTCCTTGGTTACGCCGCTGGTATCAATGTCAAAGCCAAAAAAGAAATCTAACAACTAAAATAACTTCATTTTTCTTTCTTTCAAAATGCACACAAAAATAAAAGTCTTTTATTAAAAGACATTTCGAATCAAACCTACATGTTCTATATATATTTTTATTTAAATAAATTAATAGTAGAGCAATTAGTAACATTCTTATTAAACCCATTGATCAAACAATTGTAATATCTCCTTAGCATAGATTAATAACAGATTATGTGAGTGAAACAAATGATAATCATATAATTTATCTGATATCAGTTTTTAAAATATGCCAATTCGTATTAAAAAAAAGAAAACTATCAAATAATCGTTTAAGTGACCCAACATTTGCATAGAACATTGATAGTTTTTCATACGAATCTTCCAACAATCCATATACGGTTGTATTTGAAGAGGCACCAAAAAAAAATGAAGTTCGAAAACAAGAAATCAACGCCAAAGCATCGATTAATTCAAAGACTAGTGAATATAGTTGCTAATAGAATGAGATAGTAACTCTATTTAAGGATTTCTATGCTATATTATAAAATTAGAGATGATTAAATTTATTCTTCTTGATCACTCCTATATTACAATAAGTTTTTAAAATGACTATCTTATAAATAGTATGTCCTTCATACTATATGTTAATGATCAATCATAGTTTTTTGTCATGTATAACTATTTAATTTACTTCAAAAATAACTTATAAAAATATAAACAAAAAACAAATAGTTAATCTTGATTATCATTGCTTGAAAATACTAATATCAATTGTTAATCGTTTATCAATTTCTTTTTCCCATTGATAATTCATTTGTTTAAGTCTTGCTTTAATATAATCAACAACAACAATATTATCATATGAAAATGATTTTGGCCACCAACCTTGNAAAAGATCAGAACTTTTCACGTGTTTTTTTATATACTGTGATGAAGATAATGAAAAAGTAAGACAAGAGTAAAGCTCACTATCAACAGTGATCTGGTTTTTAGTGGCATCTTTTATTTTATTCACATAGAGTGATATGTGAACTATATCAATCGCAGAATTATGTGTTCGAAGGAACTAAACCAGCTACATCAGATCTGAGCGCTCATCTTTTCTTTTTTTATATTATAGTTCAAAACAGTTTGCTATTTGAGCTACGCTCGATTTAATGCCAAAGCAACACGCTAAAGCCTTTTAGATAATAGATAAATTTCCATTGAGCCTCACACCATTTGGAAACGTTCCGCCGCCTCTGAAACCTAATATAATCTCGTTTGCATCTCCTATGTGAATATTGGTGAGATTCTTTGAAAGATTTGCAGTCATGATGCAGAAAATCATATGATCAAGCGTTTTGTTGCCCTATATAAAAACATCTTGAAATATTTATACTGAATTCTTAGATTTTTCCGACATTCATACTAATTACGATGCATATTTATTTTTCAAGGATGCGAAATGCTCATTCATGAGTTCCTCCTAACAGAATCTAGACATACCCTTTTCAACACATTCGCAGTGTCGGAGTGTGACAGAGTTCATTATTTTATTACATAAATTCATGTCTGGAGTTCATAGAAATTCATCAAGGATATAGCCTTGCTGATACAGTTTCTGATAATGGCGACAAGATTCTTCATTCATGATTACGAATAAAATTCTCAGATCCCTATATTTTTCTATTTAGGACGGTTGAACAACGTCATTTTCCATGAACGAAGAAAGTGTAATGAAACAATTCAACTTTTAACTAATGAACGTGCCCGGATTCAAAGAAAGAAAAGTAAGATAAATATTATCCTGGTTTGGGTCATTGTTTGAGAATCACAAGCTATCTTGCAGAATCAAAAATCTCAGACCTATCTGAGCACCTTCTCACTTTATCACCTACTTCCTTTCTAGGCAGAAAAATAAATCTTCAGATTTTCGAGAGTTTTTTTAAAATGACGGGGCAGGTTCGCTAACCAAATTGACCGAAGTAGTTTGAACAGTTGATATTGAGAAAAATTTTAAGGATCAAATCATGTACAATGAGTGAATGCTTGTTTTGTCCCTTCAGCTAATTCATTCTAATTACAAGGTAATAGGGCATTTGACTGAAATAGTCTTTCTTTTGTTGAAATATAAAACAAAGGGATGTGTTTCGTTTATCATTTTAAGAAAATTGAACGATTAAAAGAGATGAATGTAAGTTTGAAGTTCATAGCTTCTACTCTCTACATTTTATGATAAGTAAAAAATTGAAAAAGTCACAGACGAATGTGTGCGATGTCAAGTTTTTGACGAGTATGAGTGTGTGGATGTACCAACATTCACATCCACATGCATTCCAAACAGTAGATTATTTTTTTAAACCAATTGACATATTTTATTTCGAAGATATTTTTTCGAATTACGTGCAGAAGTAACTTATATATGATTATCACACAACCTCTAGAACTATCATATATCAATGAAAAACCAATATACTAAGGAAAAGATAGAGGGCGTGGGTGTGGGTGTGAGTAAAGGAAAGATCTATACCAACACCCACACCCACATCCTCAAGTAAACTTTCATTTTAATGAGATATAAAGAAATTACAAA